CATCTATCTGGGGATCCTTAGATGGCCAATTGCCCAATGAAGTCATTCTTGTGCATATCAGTAAAATTAAGTTGTAAGCATGTATTATTTATTCTTAGTGATAGTCTGGCATGATTCCAGTTCATCCAAAATAAGTTTTGAGTGATCAAAGTAAAAATTAAACAGAGGGGTCTCCCCAATATATACTTTTTCACACCACTTAACATTATCATCTGATTTTTTTAGGATAAGATGCTTATAGATATTGATGCTCAGGCGATGTTAAAGTTCAGGTCTTATAAAAAAGCACCATTAACCAGCATCATAAAAATGGTTCATAGACTTTACACATAACTAACCAGTGCAGTTGTAATGGGTGAAATTCAATAAAATTTTCAAAAACCTTTTATTTTTCCTGACTTATGTCTTTAACAGGTGAAGAAGAAAGTAACAGGGTTTGGTAATGGAACACTCATGCTGAAAGCCTGCTGACTCTTCTTGGAAAACATAGGCCTCCAGCATTTAAAATTTTATTGGCCAGCTATAGGTTTCAAGCATCTGCAGCAGATTCATGACAGTGAATCAATCAAAACCCCATGTAATCTTATTGCTATTTTCAACACGCAACTCACTGGGACAAGACACTACATTCATTAATTAATTGTTTCACTGATTCCATAAATAGCTATTGAGTGTTTCCCTTGTACCAGTGACTGTGCTGGGCAAAGTTCTGGGGACACAGCTGTTAAAAAAATGTTTCCTCAGCTCTAATGGAGCTTAGAGTTTAAGAAATACTTTAGCCCAGTGATTTTTGGATGATTTTTATGTACCAAGCATTGTGCTAAATATTTTACATAAAGTACTTTATAATTCTCTTAGCAAATCCTTGAATGGATATTATATTTTATGCATAGTTTCTTGTTCAACATATTGAGGTGCAGAGAATTTGAATACAATTTACCCAAATTTCTATAGCTAGCAAATGTCAAGGCTGGGATTTCAACCTAAACAGTCAAACTTTAATGTTCAAATCTTGTCAATTGCTATGCACGTGATTTGGGGGCAAATGAAATAGAGCCTAAAACTCTGAAATATTCCCCCAAAATTTTTTGAGGGAAAATCATGTAACAACATATTCTAGATTTGAGAAAAATGACTTAAGGTTATACCTCTGGAATTGGGAATTTTTAGCACTACATCTTTAAGAAGTTGTTTAATGTTTTTTTAAATCTATTTCCTATTAAAATTTAATACTTAAATATCCAAAACCAGGTTTTTGTAGGTACATAATGAAACTGTATATGGTGTCAAATAAATGCCAATTCAATTCTAATTCAATATCTTAAGAGAAACTGGGTTCTAATTAGTGTCTCCTTGGGATAAAGCAATTTAGGAATGGTCTGCCCAGGACTAGACACTTAGGTGGGGCCAGTGGTGGTGGGAGTGGGGGGGGGAACACTAAAAAAGGAAATTGGAAGCTACCTAAGAGAAATTTTTAATTTCTTATTTTGCTTAAATATGGACCTGAAAATGATGGTTAAACAGCCCACGGCCTTCTGTTACAGATGTCTACACAGAATTTTTAATTCAATTTCTCTTCACTTTTGATATTTGGATCTGATATTTGGAGTTTTCTCCTGGGATATATTTCTATGTTTATTTTGATGTTTAGAGTAGATTTCTCATTAAGATGATATAATATTAGTCTTCTATGTAGTTCAGAGATCTAAACTAGCTCAAAGCATTTTTCACCCTGCAGGGCCAAATTAAAGATGAAAGGGGGTGAGGGGAGAAATGCTCATTGAAATATCAATATTTCATCTTTATTAATTCTTACAACAGGTAAGATGAATCTTTGGTGACTTCTGAAATTTAGAAGGTTCTATCCTGGAAAGTTTGTCATTTATGTTTTGAATCTTGAACCTAAGTGAGATGAATCAGCTTGCGATATCTTCTTAATTACTTTAATGCAGTTAGAATTATCTCAGATAGGAAAGCTTTTGTAAGAAAGTGTCTTTGAACAATTAACTTTGCAGAAACATACTGAAAATGTTTACAGAGAACAATAAAACTCTAATACACATTCCCAGTGCTCTATTTCTTTATCTTCCTACTATTGCTTATTTTCTCTTCTTATTACTAAAATTCTTTTGAAGACTTGACAATAACCACAACAAAAATACAAATGTTCATAACACTAAACTATAAGATTGATAAAGAACGTAAGTTGAGAAATTGGAATGATGCTCTAGTAAAGGCCCCTAGTTTAAAAAGAGAAAATAAAATTGTGTTTTATCTGAGAAGCTGCTCAGAAATCTCCTCTTGAAGCTCTCACCATCCTGAAAGGAGACTATAAATCACATTTTCTATGTGCAGACTAAGAAACCTGGGTTCTGCAGCTCTAGGGAATGGATCAGCCATTCATGTGTGAACCAGGTGGAGGGTTGCTGCCTCCCTCTTCCTCCTGCTGCCATCTGCTCATAGACAATCAAGTCTCAGAAAACAAGGAGGGACTGAGTTTACAGTTTTCTTTGGAGTTTATCTGTTGTAGCTCCCACAAATAGCAGGCTTACTAGGGGCAAGAGAGAGCAAGAATCCATATCATTTTGTCATTAAATTTTGATGATCAAATGTGAAAAATATCATCTTTTGCATTTGATGGAAATGTGACTACACATCTTTATTATATGTATATTTATTTATGAATATTTTATGACTTTGTAATATATTATTTACATTATGGGGCATGTGCAAAATGTGAGTTCAAGATCTAAACAAAGTTTTAAACATCTCTATTATATTGTCTAATGGCATAAGACTTCAATAATTTTATTGAGGGAAATTTGATTACATTTATTATATAATTTGTTAACATTGATCGGATGCTTTGTGATGCAATAGAACTCATGTCTGATTCTAAGTTAACTAAATTTAGCTACATTTATTATTTGTCATAACAAAGTGACAGCTTATAAAGGGACATAGATCTAAATGGAAATAATATCTCAATGGTGTTACTTAATAAATAAGATAACTTATTTTTTATTTCTCTCTACCTGTTATGTAAAGCTTTAGGTAACAATCTGTTTGGAAAACTTCTGATAATATCAAGAAGCTTTTCTTGTAAAGTAAATGAATTACATGACATTTTTGGGTTTTTAAGAAAATTTTTAAACCATGGTAAAGCTTCACTAGAAGGCTTTCACTGGATAATATTGAATAGATTGGAATTTCGTTTGTTAAGTGTACAGATAGGACTTTTTATAGATGATATAGTTGCTTAGTTTTTGGTAACAAAATGATTTAAAATGAAAAGATTGTCAAGCATTTACAAACTCTACATAGAATGGGTTACCTGTAAAAAATAGTTAGTTACTTTCTCATTTGTGGTAAAAATATCACTTTTACCTGAAAAGATTGAATTGGATGAGTGTTTTTATTTGCAAATATGTCTTCTAGGAGTTAAGGAAGTGCTGGAAAAAGGAGCATGTCAAAAGGATACAGAGCCAACCTGAGTGAGTTGAATGAGCTGAATGTTCGGAAGTTGGAACACTTGGAGTGACAAAATAACTAATGATAGCATCAGATTATAACCCGCAGAATAAATACATACTGATGAGTTCATACAGATATAAATAAATAATTGAATAAATAAATAAACAAATGAGAGAAAAGGAACAGCTCTTCCTCACAGAAGAATCCCAATCAATGATATAAAAAGAATGAGGGAAATCATAAATCACCATTAGAGGTACAACAGTGACTTGCAAGCAAGATACACTGATGAGTGCCAAAATCAGTAGGCAAAAATGGAAGGAGAAACAGGAGAAACAGTATATTGATAAATAAGGGAAAAATTGTAATGGTACAGTGGAGCAACTTGGTAGACAAACCACCCTGTCTAGGTAGATGGTCAAAGTAAACATTGCCAGTAATAAGACACACTGACATTGTGTGCCCCTGATACACTGACCTGGAAAGGAACACAGCATCACTTCTGTCGTATTCTTGACAAAAACATTCATAATAGCACTTCCATCACAAGAAAACATTAGGCCAACCCAACTGGCTAACATCTATCAAAAATACCAGCATCATGAAAAACAAGGAAAGATTGGAACGGTCACAGATTGGAGGCGACCCAGGAGACATGGAACCTAAATGCAGTGGGATCCTGGATGGGATGCTGAAACAGAGGAACTATATTAGGAGAAAAATGGTGAAATTCAGAAAAGGTCTTTAGTTTAATTAATAGTATTGTACTAATGTAATGTTCATTCCATTGTTTGATGATTTTACTACGGTTATGTAAAATGCTAACATTAAAGGAAGCTGAGTGAAGGGTATACATGCATTCTTCATACTGTGCTTGCAACTTGTATATGAGTCTAAAATTATTTCCAAATGAATATTTTAAAAAACTCTCCAGGTAAAATAGGGGTAGATTCTTGTCAACACAGGAAAGGACAATACATTTCGAGCATGAATCTTAGTTAAGGAAAGAAAAACTTCAGCTCATCTTTAGTTTAACAATACTTTATGAACTTCTCCGCAAAACACCAGTAAACTTTGTGCTGCACAAAAGATTTCCATGGTCACCATTACCTCATTTCACAGTACTATAAAGATTACCATATTCAGAAAGTTTTATTTTTATACACTTAACTATTTTCTGTGATAAACTCTAATACTTTGTACTTCTCTGACTTCATTTATATTCCTGTAATGGTTTGACTACTAACGGGTAGCTGACAGATCCCTCTATCCACCTGCTTCATGGAACTCTTAGCATCTATCTCTAGCCATGGGACAGGCTCAGGGCAGGGGTCAGTCCTAGTAATAGTACCAACAACCTCAGAGGTTTGGTCCTCTTTGCAGAAGAGTTTTATTGTCATTGTTCTTTCCTAATAAGGAGGCTGATGCAGGACTAAAGTTGGAAGTAGAAGTATCAGCTTGGTCATTTTCTCCTCACTCTCTGCTGCTTGTACTATTAATATCATCTTCAATTGGAAGTTTCATTGATACTTGCTTGGCAGCAGAGATATCATGATTATGAAAGGGCATCTTTCCAGGACAAGGCTTATTCACTGCACTTGAATCTGCTGACCTCTGTGATTTTTCAAAATATGGGAAACTCCACAACATTATTTGTGAAAGTAGGGGACTGCATTCACACTTTCCAGGGAGGGGAAAATAAGTTTCTTTGAAGAAAGTTTGCAAGCCTCTCAATTGTGTGAGGTTTATTCTAAAGGAAAAAATAAATAAAATTATACAATCTGTAAATTCATTTGACCAGGCATTCATTCTCCTGTGAGTCTCATTGTTAAACCCCTCAGTGGAGGGAGACTTCTGTTCTCAACAACTTTGCCTTTGCATCCCATGTCTGATTGGGGTCCTCCTGCTGATCAAAAAGTGTACAGCAGCGTCAAATCCTACATCAAGATTAGTCAATCTTATTCCTTTCTTCCTTTTGAAGCATAAAGTAAATATAAATTCTATTATTGTCTTTAGAAACACCAATGGAGTGTCTTGTGTACTAAGAGGGAGTGCGCACACTTTACTTTGTAAAAAATGGTTTCGAGTATGAGTAATCCAGGAAAGGAGGGTAATCTCTGATGCCACCTACTTGGCAGTAGAAAGAGAACATTTAAATATGTCTATGAGAAATTGAGACTTGGTTTGAGATCTAGACTCATTAAGTAGAACTTCAGCAATATTTGTGAAGTAATAAACTAAACCAAATTTGGATGGATTTTTCCTTATCTGAGGAGGTGGAAAAAAAAACAATGAAAACATGCAAAGACTATATGGCTCATCTAAATTCCTTTTCTCCTCTTCTCTCATTTTAAAGATGTCTGCCCTCCATAAGCAGAGTCTTAGAGGCCTTCTTCTATAAGCCCAACACTGTAGATGTGAGCAGGCCACTTATGTTCCCATATTCCTGGTCCTATATTTATCCTCCTCCTGCTATGGAAACCCTGCAGGTTGGCAAGTTGCAAATAAACCCCAAGAGTATCTTGATTTTGCAAAATGATAGCATCTCAAGTTGCAGGTACCTGGAGGACATAGTTTAAATCCCTTATTTTAAATTGAAAGTCCCTGGAGTGTTTATGTGGCACACCTATGGTGATGTAGGCAATTAATAACAGATTTCCTCTATTGACTCAGTCACCAGACTTCACTTGACACTACCAGCCTTTTCCCTCTGAAGAGCAAATAAATTGCCCTCTGACTACATTGTTAAGTTTATTGTTCTCTTCCTTTCTTTTCTCCTTCTCCACAGTATCTTGCACACGGTTTTCTGTATGACAGCAGTTTTTATAGTGTGGTGCCCATCTCAGGAGGCCTGGGAGGTCAAAACTACTTCCCCAATAATACATCTGTAACTCCAGTGGAGGAAATCCTGGGGCAAATTACATTTGAAACCAAAATCAGTCAAAGGGAGAAATAAAGTGGGAGAAACCCTGTTATTTCCTACAAGCAGTCCACTTCTGCTCTTCCGTTTCTCTCGCCACCGCTTGCAGAAAAAGGGCCCAGATAAGCCTTTGTTCACCCTTATAATTACCTACTGATGTGGAGATGAACTACTTCTCTCCACCTCTTGGAAACACCTATTGATATGGAGATGCGCTAAGGCCAGGAGAGATTTTGGAAATATTGCAACTTTACCCACGTCCCAATAATAAAATGTCTTTTCACTCATTTTCTCAGGATTGCACAGGAAGGCTGCCTGCTGTGAGATATTGAAACACAGTGAACACAGAAGTAGATATGAGAATTCAGAGACTCCAGAAAGCTGACAAAGAAAGTAAAAAAATGTAAAACAATGCCACTTGTTTCATGGTTATTGCTTTGGAAGATACAAGCGTTTTTCACTAAAGTATCTTATTTTTGTTAGCATATAACGAGTAATAGTGTTATTTTAAACTGAATTTCCGTGTAATATTTTTTGTGTCTCTGATTTAATTCCTAAAGTGGTAAACATCAGTATTTATATTTGACTTATGTAAGCAAAAACTCCTTGGGGTCCTCAATAAATTTAAGAGTATTAAAGTGTAATAGCATGAAAAAGCTTGAGAATCATGGCCACAGGTGGTCATTTCGCACTGATCTTGGGTGAGGTGAAAACATGGAAATGAGGGGGTCATAGAAGAAATATATTAACTAATTAGGAAGCATTTGTTGAAACTTAGTATCTGTCTGACCCACCGCATTTAAGCTCTGTGAAGAAAGTCATCCTGTATTGTTTTCACTACTGTTTCCTCAGCTTCGGGCAAGTTGCTTCATGTATCTGGATCTTAGCCTCCCATTCTCTGATCTGGGGATAACCCTGCTTCTCACTCGTTAACACCAAGCAATTCTTGAACACCAGCATTAATTCTGGTACTATCTGTCCAGAGACAGCACCCATATTAACGGCTCAGTCTTACAAGATTGGCCCCCACCTCTCACTCCAGACTTCTATAGCAAGCAGTCCCCTGTGTTTCTGACCTACCAGCTATAGACTGCAGGTTCCAGTGACCTCTGCCTTAGGTTTGATTAATTCGATCGTTTTTGAGCGCATCACGGAATTCAAATGTATACTAGTTTAATAAAGGATACTGTAAATGAAACAGAATAACAACTAGATAAAGGGATACATAGGGCAAAGTCCCATACAAAGGAGCTTTTATCCCTGTGGAGCTTGAGGCTGGCTCAGTAGCTGGGAGAAGCTTTCTGGTTTCCCAAGCTGACAGCTCTCTCTGACAGAGAAGCAGGACCCAAGAGAGCAGCCAGCTCTTCTCAGTGGGTTTTGTGAGGGCTTCATTGCACAGTCATGGTTGACTAAATTATTGGCCATTGGCTGATCCAACCTCCATTCTCCATCTTTGGGTGGAGTCCAAAATTTTCTCATTAACATGACAAGACACCCATGTACTTTAAGACTGCAGTGTGTTTAGGAACTGTGGATGAAGATTGAATATACCTGGGAAATATATATTTGGTATTCAGAATGACCAAGTATGTATTTCTTATGAGTCATTATATCACATCTGCCAAATTCAACAATTTTTAATAAACATTAAATAAAATCATGAATGTAAAGTTTCTCATGCATACCTGAGATATAATAAATGCTCAAAATGAAACTCTGGATACTGAGATAGTGGTCAGGTAGTAGCAGGGATTATAACGGAGCTGTGGTAGCCATGGTACTTGTTTTTGTGTTTCTGTTTTTATTTTTTAATTGAGGTGTAACATACATAATTAACAGTGCATCCATTTTAGATGTACAGTTCAAAGGCCTTGTACATATGTATTTACCCACCTTATTTTCCCCAGATTAAGATTCATTTTTGGGTGTGTGCTTATTTATAAATTGCAATATTTTGCAATAGTGTCGAATTCCAAAAATTTGGTGTATAAAATGAATTACAGTGCTTCAGTTTGGTAATTAACACAAAGAATGGTAAAAATACCTCATATGTAGCAATATTGAACAAGTGTATAATTTGGTATTATATGTGCAATTAATCCTATTAATTCCATCAGATCTTGATTCAAAGTTAGTTTCATTTTAGAAGTTAGCTTATTTCCTAGCCAGCCTTCATAAAATTTTAATCTTATATTTTTATATCACCCTTTCCTTAATTTATCTTTTTCTCCTCTGCACTTAAAACTATCCAGTGTTATGTAATTGACTTATTTGTCTTTCTAGTTGTGTTTTCCCCAGTAGAATGCAAGTTGACTGAGGAACTTTTATTCATACTTTTTTGCTCAGTACCTAGAAGATGATGTGACATAGTAACTGCCATTAGATATTTGTTAATTTATTATTGAAAGAATGTAAGTTTTTAAAACATAGATATTATGTATGCATAATTATGACCACATAAATATTAAAATTTGAAAACTGATGAAAAATAAAATAGAAACAAGAGTTTTTCAGTTTTCTTTCTTTTTTATATTTTTGTTTGTTCTATATTTTCTATTATTATTTATTCAGTAGGTTCCAATCAGTGGAAAGCAATAATGAAAATATGAGAGGGAAGACACAAAACATGATTTATCTCACAGTTGCTATGTGACCTTAGAATAACCTGTGACAAAAGCCAGTTTGATAATTAATCCATAATGATTTGTCAGGTTCTAGCAGTATAGTGATACCTTAATCTCCCATGCTTTGAATGCCAATATATTTCAACGGACCTTTTAGAAATTTTTTTTTCATCCACAAGTAAATATCTAATGACAAGAGCTTCCAATTTATGTCCAGTGCAAATGGAAATTGTTGCTAAATTTTCTCATGGCTATGTGAAAACACAAATTTTGCTTTGTCAGAAATTTTAATAAATGAATATAGAGCACAGGTAGATGAATTAGTAAAGCAGAACTACTCTGAGGTGATGAATGATGACTCATATGAGGCTTTGATATACAATGGGAATCTGTTCAATGACCGAATGGAGGAAATCATGGTGAGCAAAACACAGAAAGCTTATGTCCAAGGGTAGATGCTACGGCACAGCTCCACCCTCACTTCCTTGTGAGGGTTCAGACCCAGGCATGTTATCCTACAGTCTTTTTTCCCCCTAGAAAGCAGAAACCTGTACTTTTTTACATTAAATCCTCAAATTTCTACATTTTAACATTGAACTTTTAATTTAAATGTAAAGTTACATGTGGTTAACTATTTATGGAGGAAAGAAAACCTAACCTAAAGTTGAAATGTGGTCAAGGCTACCAATTTTGACTTCTGGTCCCATTTACTAGTGCTTACCAACAAACCATGTGCATATTAAATGTCCATTCAGGGGAGCACAGCCTCAAAACACAGAGTACAGTACACACACCATTCTCCACAGTTGTATTAAGTGATTGAGTGATATATACACAGGATTAAATTACAATTTCAGGGAGGGTTTTTTTGTGTTTGGCTTTTAAATGCTCTTCACTTGGAAAGAGTTCCTATACTACCTCCAGTATATTTGTCAAGCAGTGAATGATATATATTTGCTATTAAAAGAAATCCTTGTTTTTTGTAACAAAAGGGACTTCTATCCTAATTTGCTTTTTCTGATGTCCACCTTTTATGTCACATTTGAAAAAAATTACATATAATTAGAATTTGAATGAGTTTAATTCCATTTTTCTTTGTCTTTTTGGGATATCAGGGAAAAGTAATTATATACCTTATGCCTAT